ATACCTGAAGGAGGAGATGATCAGTTTGAAGGTGTAACTATATCTGAAGTTAGAGCCACAATTGCCCCAAGTTGTACTGCTGGACAAATTAATGTGGGATTTCTTACCCCAGAACACAGAGCATTGCAGTGGATTATTAGTCGCGTTCTTGCTCAAAGAAAGGGTTCCAAATCTTATGTTCTTGCCAGTGATCTTCCCTGGTTTGATTATCTTCTTAACAGAAAAAGGGTGAACCTAGGCAAATACATTTTCCGGAGCATAATCAAGCCTTACTCACCAACTTCGGGACTTCCTCATGGTGCTTTAATTACAAGATTGGTAAAGAGGAACAATATTGATCTTACCTCCTTTCGGTTTGGAACGGTTCCCAGTGGGACTACACTTACCAAAGCTTCTTTTGAGAAAATGGACTGTTTATTTAGAAATGGCACTTGGATAAAAAAAGGGGAACAAGAAGGGGATGAAGAAGAAGGTGATACAGATCAAGAAATGGCAGAACAAGGGGCAGAAGATCATGAAGATGACAGCCCAAGACCATTTCGAGCTTCCATGCAAAGAACCAACCGTGAAACCATGGAGTCAATGATATCTGAAATGCAGCAGCTACACACCGACTTTTATGGTTTCCGGACAGAAATGAGAGGGAGCATGACTGACGTGAAAGGACAGCTTGAACGGCTTGTTAACCATTTTTTTCCTCCACCCCCACCTGATGCCAACTAACTTGATATTTCTTTAGTTTGGCTAATCTTTAGGATGGACATCTTAGGATTATGCATGTTATGCTCTTATTTGACTATGGATATGTCTTGAACCTTTTTATGCATTTTATGTTTGATGAATGGAAATGGCATTACTTGTGTTATCATGCTTTGTGAATGTTTGTTTATGATTTTGATGTTAATATGCTCTTATTGAGGGGGAGTTTATTAGTTGATGATTGTGTTCATCACTTTGGTTGTCTATGATGCTATATTGATGATGATTGATGATTATATTCATTATATATTCTTGATGCTTTAAAGGTTGATAGCATGAATTAAGGGGGAGCATTTTGTGCTTAAATTGCTCTTCTTAATGGTTATCATTGATGTGCATGAATTAAGGGGGAGTTTGTTGATTATGTGTTTTTTGATGAATGACAAAAAGGGGGAGAAGTATATGCTGAATTTAATGTCATATTCTAGAGTATCTTTGTGCTGAGATTCTAGCTAATATTGAAGTATATATTTGCTTTATCTTTGTGTTGAAATTCTGGATAATATTGAAGTATATATGTGTTTTTCTCAAAGTGTTTTGTCATCATCAAAAAGGGGGAGATTGTTGTACCTATGATTTTGATGATTACAAAACACATTTGAGTGACTAATTGGTT